TAGTAACAGAATAAAAATAGTGAAAATTTTGTCAGATATACAAGTGGAAGATAAAATTATCTTAAGAAAGGGATATTTGAATCTCTGATTTTACAGAAGGTAAATTATGTAGGGATCAGATAGCTATGTTTCAATATCCACAATTCAATTATTGCTGATTTTTCTAAAAATATATTAAAAAAAATAAAATACAATAAATAGCAAATATAAAAAGAAAAGGTAAGTAGAATAAAATTGGGTGGATTAATGGGACCTCCATTTAATTTTTTGTTAAAAGGTCGTTTTATTTCTTCCCATAAAAAGGGGCCTACGATTCAAATTGTTACTATCCCCTCTAAAAGTTAGAGTCATCTAAATTAGGAATAAATAAATTTATTTAACATAGCACCAGATTAATCAGATGAAGAAGAAGGTAGAGATAGTTTACAGTATTCTTTGGAGAGGATTGGATTTGATTGATGAATTTGTATGATAGAATTTGATTTGAATTTGCTTCTACGATCTTAGTTTTGGTATTGGTATTGACATTGATATTGGTTATCCAAATTTACATTGAGATTGGTTTTTGTTGTTTGTATTAGTGGTTGGCATCGCCATTAATATTCCAAAAAGTAATAAATAAATTTAGGTTAAAATGTACTTTTAGCTATGGTTTATTTTTCCTTATACTTTGAAAATTTTCATTTTGGTCCTCGTACTTGTAACTGTGGTTTATTTTGGTCCTTGTACTTTGAAAATGTTCATTTTTGTTCCTATTACTTTTTAAAACGTGAATATTTTAGTTCCTCTTTGCAAAATTTTAACACAAATTTTACACATAACCGAAACTTTTTGGTATAAAATAATGTTTATACTTTAAGAAATATATTGATTGTAATGTCGTGTTGAAATTGTAATAGAAAAAATGAGATTAAAAATAAAATAAAATGACTAAAATAGTATTTTTTTTAAAAGTACAATAACGAAAATAAACATTTTTAAAGTACATGGATTAAAATGAACTAAAATTAAAAATAAACAGTAAAACAAAAATTTTAAAATTACATGAACTGATGATAAAAATACGCATAAATATATAAATATTGTAAATTGACAATAGCAAATCGTTGGTTGGTGTATATATAAATACACATATTTTGAGAAAAAGTTTAATTTATACACTCGAAGTTAGGTAGGGAAGCAATTTTAAATTCTTTTCAATTTCAGACCATAAATATCCTAATAGATATTGTAATATAAACTCTATAAATAACGGGTGAAATTAATAATTCATCAAGTTAAAAAGATTTGGTTCGATAAGTATTTCTTCTTCTTTTTTTTTATCTATTTTTAAAAATTATACTTGATTTCTATTTTTTTCCCCCTTGTGTTTCACATCCGTAAAAACACATTTAAATTTTTTAGCTAAATTTCAAAAATAAAACAAGATTTCAAAAAACTACTTTATTTTTAATTCAATTTTCAAAATTTTACTTAGGTTTTGAAAACTTTTTAAAAAATAATAACATAAGCCGTTCTTAAAATCACATTCAAATTTCTGAGTTTGATTTTGAAAAATAAGAAACGAAATACTTTGACTATGTTTTTTCAATTTTATTTTTTTTACTTTATTTTTTAAAGATTTGGGACTAAAAGTCTGCTACTTAGATGAAGTTTTTAAAAGCATAAGCTTGATTTTTAAAATACTTATGAAACGGTGACTAAGTTTATACAATTTTCTTTT